GGTAACTTATACTTACATTTTTTGTAAAATAAATAATAATATATAAAATATATAATAACCTAATATAAGATATATATATATATATATATATATATATATATATATATATATATATATATATATATATATATATATATATATATATATATATATATATATATATAAATTGTACATATAAATTTGTATTTGCCTCGTATTTACTGTCATGGAAACTTACAAAGAACTATTGGTAAGAGGAATAGTTTGTTATTGTTATTTTGTTTTTATTTTTATTGAATAAAATATACTATATTAGTTCAGGGCTCGAAATAACGTACTTTTTTGTTCCGGACAGTTTGTCCGATAAATTGTTTGGTTTGTCGGACATGACCGATAAATTTCAACAAAAAATATTTTTACTATAAAACTAATATCCGATTTATTATTTACTACTGGTATGTGCGGTCATTAGTAGGGGTGCACCGATGCATCGGCCGATGCCAATTGTTTAAAAAAGTCAATTTTTTTTTATTTTTTTGTTTCTATATTGTATAAAAAAATATAATAATTATATTTTTTTATAAAATATAGAAACACAAAATTAAAAAGACTCATTTTTCAAAACAATCGGCATCGGCCGATGGTTACCAAGACCGATGCAACAGTGCACCCTTAGTCATTAGTATTGCGGTGTTAATTAGATTATGAAAGTATAAAAAAAAAACGTGTTATACTTTCATGTTTAGACTTACAAGTTAAAAACTTGTGACTTTTTTGGAAAAAAACGACAACATTTCTAAAAGAATAAAAACAGTTTTTAATAAAATAATAATAAATAGTTGTGTTTGCTATCGCGCTAACCATTTTTACTTTAGAGTATTGGTATTAACTATCTCTATTTAACGCTATTTATTGTGCAAACGTAATGTCTATACATAAACGAACTTTTCTCGTCAGGAATATGTTTGATTATAAAAGCAAGACCAGTATTTTGTATTTATTTTAAAGCTTAAAGATTTTTACACAATTAAAATATGTTTTTCTTTTAATTGTCATCAAAAAGAGATTTCACAAGATCCTCTCCACTATCATTTTCACTGTCGCTAAGGGAAGTAATTGTTCTTTTTTTGTTAAACCCGATCTTTATAAATTCCCGTTGGTTTTTGGTTTGGGCGTCTTCCTTTATCACTCCACCACAATTCAATTGCAGGAAGAAAATTGAATTCTTTCAGCAATGGACCATCTTCCAAAATGCGCAAAATATTTGAAACACAAGATTCTGTCAATGAGGTTCGATAATTTGATTTGACACTTTTCATCTTTGAAAACATTCTTTCCAGCTTAGCGTTAGAAATTGGCAAAGTAAACAATAGCTCAGCAACTGTTAAAATAGAGGTCCATGATTTACTTCTAGGTGATACAAATATGCGTCGCCAGGTAATTCGGTATTGCGTTTCAACTGGGGATAAAAACTCTTGAGCATAACTTAGCATTTCTTTCCATTGAGTTAAGATGTCTGGAAAAACAACAGCAGCAGAGCGTAAAGGCTCTTGAAAGTGTTTGCATATATAATTTAAAGCTTCATCGGCAAAATCTAAATTTCGCGTTATGATTCCGCTTTCAGCTATAACCTCCCGAAGCCAGCCGTTGCAATTTAATACTTGGGATGCATACTTTAAAATAAGAGTACTTTCTTTTTCGTTTTCTACACGTTGTATAATGCAGTCCCTGACTACTGTTAAATACTCCACAGTTTTTGTTTTAAAAATTTTAAACTCACGCTCAAAGTCTTTAAGTTCAATGTCATGATAATAATGTTTGCCGTTTTTTTTTTTTGATTTGTGAAAGAAAATCTTTAACTCTAGGCAAATTTTCGAGACTTTTTTTCTCAAATAATACCCATCTTTCCTTTGCTTTTGTAAGACAGTTCATTACTTGAACGTGATCAACTTGATCATCCTGAAAAGACATTGAAAGTATTGAGGGAATTTCGAGTAAATCGATAAAAAATGCAAATAGAAGTGGTATTTTTCCTTTTTTCCATTTTAGGAGATACCCTTTCATTTTAGCTTTGTCAGGAGCTAAAATCGATGGGTCTTCAGCTAATTGTTCAAGATGGGTAATGTATAAACCCCATTTGTCAAGGAAAGACTTCATGGCATTAACTTTATAAGAAATCCATCGTGTTCCAGATGCTTTTTTAGGCTTGCAACTTTCATCAAGCGTATCCATCCCGTCTTTTAAAACAGTATATAACTCGCGAAGTTGTCGGAGCTTTTTTGGTGCTTTTTGGTACAGGCAATAACTTCGTAATATAATTTCATCTACAAGATCGAATTCTGTATCTTTTAAAGCATCTGCAATTGCTAATTCTAAGCGGTGTGCAACACACCAAACAAACACAAGCCACGGACTTCTTTCGCGTAGAATGGTTTTCACACTACTTTGATCGCCTCTATTTAGTGCAGCCCCATCTGAAGTAAAACCAATGCATTTAATAGGTGTTAGCAAATTTACAAAACATTCTTCTAAAACTTTTACAACACCTTGGGCTTTTCCAGATTCTAAATATTTTATATCTAAAAACGAAGTCCTGATTTCAACCGCATCCGACCCAACTGGCTGTGGATCAAAATATAATGCATACACCACTTCATTTTCAATTACCGAACTGTCTGTTGAACCATCACACAATACACTATAAAATTTAGCATTTCTAAGGCTATCGTGTAACGAATTTTGCAGACTTCTTGCAATATAGTCAATAAATACAACGCATTGGCGATCTGAAATATAGGATTCGCCCATATTCACACCGAAAAGCTCAACTAATTTAACAATTGGAACAAACTTTGAAAGAGGTAACTGTTGTTTCGCTATAAAGTAAGAAAGTTGAAATTTTTTAAGGGTTTTTTCAAGGTCGTTTTTTTCCATTTTTTTCAAACCATCAGTGATTGTTGCGTTATTTTTACAGGGCAATAAAGGTTTAGATGCATTTTGAAAATTATTAGATTTTTTAAGAAAAAGAGTGTATGCTTTTAAGTGCGGTTGAGACTTACAATGATCAAGAATATTCGATTTTCTATAGTTTGCTGATCCAACTATGAATGTATTCGTATAGTATGGCATAGTTTTTATTGTATCATTAAACTCTGTACAAAACTTGCATTTTAAGTTTTTTACTCTTTCATTTGAATCAATGTCATAAAATAGCCATTCGCTAAGTGAATACTCAGCGAGCTCCGACTTCCAAGTTTCTACTGTCGATACTGATACTTTACGAGAATTTGCCGTGATCTTACTTGTTTCTTCTTTGGCATTTTTTTCATTTATAGACTTAGCTGCAGGCGACTGTTCTAAAAATGGTTTAAACAAAGAAAATATAGTTTTTTGAATTTTATTTTTCGGTGGCTCAACTGTTGAACACTTTGAACATAAGGCAATTCTCTTAATTTCCTCACTATAAGATAAGTCGCCAGTTTTTCCCGGAGTTGCACAAATATTGCAAACAAAAACAGCGCATTTCATGCATGTATACTTTGTATTTCTTTCACGACAAACTGAGCAAACTGCTTCCATTTTTTTTTAATATTACGCCCTAAGTTGGAATAATGACAACACATTATCATAAATATTTTAAACTTATATATATTATATGTGAATAATTATATTAATAAAATACATAATTATACTCATATAATTATACATTTTATTAATATATTTATTGTTAAATTTATAAAATAAAAACTTCTGTTCACAAAATTGAATAAGATAAGAAATAAGTTTAATTAAAAGTAACAAATAGCTTTACCTTACGAAAATTTCAAATTCAAAATTAAATCACAGTAAACAGAAAACTATTAAAAACGTAACATGTTGTATTAAATTTTATTTTTTACAAAATATTAATATTTACGGGGAAGATATTTTAAAAATGTAAAAGAAAAATGTAAAAAAAGTGTTGATGTTAACCCCCGTTAAAAAAAGCGTTGCTCATTAAATAAAAATTCTTGCGGCATAATACTGTTTCCATTTTGTCTGAATTATCTCAAAGAATGACGAACTTCATCACATTGTGCACACTTTCGTTTTCTTGGGCATTTTTGGTTAAAAAATAAAATAAAAAAGAAAGTTTATATATAATATACTGAACATTTCAATAACTTTTAAATAACTAAAATAATTTTAAGAAAATTTCACAAAAAACATTAGTCGGACAAAATGACCGATTTATGATGATTTTTACCGGACCAATGTCGGACAATGTCCGATGTCCGGCGGCTATTTCGAGCCCTGTATTAGTTATATAGTATATTATACTGCTAATATAGTATAGTACTATTATATGATATACTGATAATATAGTACATACTTCTAATATAGTATATTATATATGTTTTATTGACTATATTATATAGTCAATAAAATAATTATACTCTAGTAGATTTATGAATACTAGCAGTATATATTTTCTATATACTGCAGGTAAACATATATATATATATATATATATATATATATATATATATATATATAAATGCCTAATCATTCTAAGTAGCTTTGGTAGTTCTAAAACACTAGCAATGTAAAGTTAAAGATTTATGACATAAATTATGTCATAATTAACACCAGACATAAATACAAAATCTTACACAATGACCTTTTTACTAAATAACCAAAAAGCTTTATTCAATTTGTTTTGTTCATATATTATGACAAAAACTGGTTTGGGAAAACTAGTCTTTTCTCAGAAATTGGTTTACAGTTTTTTAATCCCTTCCCCCCCAAAAAAAATTGGATGGGCATCTTTCTTTTTTGTAAACACACAAACAAAACAGTTATTCATGATGCTAAAATGTAGCTAATTATTATAATTGTATTGTAAACAGTAATTGTTGTAATTGACTACAGCTCATTTTATCTGATTAAGCTTGAGAGATTAAAAATCTGAATAGTCTATTGAGATTTTTAATCTCACAAGCTTAATCATGTAAGCTCAATGTTTGTATACCAACAAACAGCAAGATATTTTTTTAAAAGTTTTTTAGCTTGTTTAGCACCAAAAAACTGGGAGGTTGTTTATTTTGTTAAGTACTTAAGTTAGGTATGTGTATTCTTATTTCTACAAACATATATGTATATATATATATATATATATATATATATATATATATATATATATATATATATATATATATATATATATATATATATATATATATATAGTACGTAAATTAGGTTTATGTGATAAAAATTAGTTATCTGCTGAAAAATATTTTTCAATTAAACTTGTCATACATGTTGAAAATAATTAAACCAAGCCCATTAGATTTAAAAAAGAAAACTCCATCATTTTTTCAATATGAATTTTATTTATATCACTTGTCCAAAGATCAGTTTAATGTCTTGATTAAGACATTAAATTTCAGGAAAACAAAATTTAAACATCTTCTCCCCCCCCCCCTCCCTCAAAAAAAATTTTTCTCTGAACAAATTCCTTTACTTATATATATATATATATATATATATATATATATATATATATATATATATATATATATATATATATATATATATATATATATATATATATATATATTTATATGTATAAATTAGTACATATTATATAGTACATATATATTATATATGTACTATATAATATATACTAATTTACAAAAGGATAACAATCTAATAATTTTTTTTTAGACAGATTACACTTCTAAAATACCATGTACTTTGTGCAACAAATTTTCAGTTGATGATGGATCCATTATTTGTAGTCAATGTTTAAGTATATAATTTTTATTTATTTTTTTCATTTTTTCTGTTTTCTATTTAAAACAAATCAAGATTAAAATTTGTCTTATAATTTAAAATGTCTTTTTTTTCTTTCAAGGTAGTTCACGTGATATTGAAGACTTGAATACGTTTGTTACAACAGGTATACATTTTTTCTTCGTATTTATATATAATTATTGATACACTTTGATGTGTAAATATATCGGTAAAAAAATTATGTTCAATAAATATAGTCTAAATAAGCCTCAAGCAAGAACTCATAAAATTGGCAGTTAAAGTAAATCAAAAAGTAAATATTTTATTAAATGATGACTCAATAAGAGATTTTTTATTTTTGGATCACAATTTTAAGATCCAAAAATAAATTTTTATTTTTATTTTTGGATCACAATTTTGATAGATTCACAGGTATTAGATTTCAATTCAATCTTCTAAGTTGTTTGAAATTGTTTTTAAATATTAAGTCTAGTGGAAGATCTACAATACAGTCTACTTTATTTTATGGTGATAATTTTTTTTTAATAACTCTTATAAAAATAAGGGTATAATTAAATATTTATAGGATTGAATTTGTTTACAAAGAAAAATATTATGGAAATAGCATCTTCTCAATTGCTAAAATCTATTTATTCTGGTCAAGCAAGTATCTTACTTAAGTTTGTAAGTATCTTACTTAAGCTCGGATAGCTCAGTAGGATAGCGCGCTTCTATTATTGTGATTTATCAATTGCCGTAGCAGTAGGATTATTCAAATATCATTTTTGCCAGCTCAGGGTACTATTTCATTATTAAATGAATTTGTTTTAATTATCTCTTCTATTATAAATTTTCTTTCTTTACTAATCAAATAATCTAGTTAAGTAAATAAGCGTTATTGTTTATCCTTTTATCATAAAACGTTTATTGTCTATACCTAAAACAAACTTTAAAGTCTACAGAGTTCTTTAAATACTGTGTTCTTAAAAATATATTTCAACATTTGTTTATTTATTGTGAGTTGTTCAAACATCAGTTTGGAAACAAAATGATGAGCAATATTTTAATGTAAATCTTTTGCAATATTTTGTTTTTATTCAAGTATTCAATTTTGAATACTTGAAATCAAATAGTTTTAACTTCAACTAATCGACTTTTAGTCAAAATTAATAACAACTTACTAATGCTAAATCCTTAAATAATATTTTTGTATTTTATGTTCAGTTATACAGACATAACTGGTTTATTGCTGGTGGAGAAGATAAAAGTTTGTATTATATAAAAATATAGAACTAAACACTCTATTATTTCATTTGTTTTATTATTTTTATTTATTTATTTTCTGATTATTTGAAATGTTTTTGCATTTCTATTTATTTATTTAGAAAATCTTTCTAACGGAGATCTCCTTAGTCTATTGTCAGAAGATCAATCACATGATCTTTTTAATGCTTTTGTTTTAGCTTTTAACAAGTTGAAGGTAATCATAATCTGTAATATTATTCAATTATTCATTTCTAAACAAAGTCATTTTAAACTCATTGTTTGAATAATACTCCATTTTCCAGTATTAATTTTTGTCATATATGTAATGATCTTTTTAGGATAGTGACTATGTATTTAAAGTTTTAATGCCTGAATCAACTGTATTTTTATTTGCTAACGCTAGTAATGTGTCAAGAATAAAGGTAATCTAAAATCTGAATATTTAAATCTTCGTTTTTCAATTTTTTATTCTATTGAATAATTATTTATATAATTAAATATTATTTATTTATATAATTAAATATTATTTATTTATATAATTAAATATTATTTATTTATATAATTAAATATTATTTATTTATATAATTAAATATTATTTATTTATATAATTAAATATTATTTATTTATATAATTAAATATTATTTATTTATATAATTAAATATTATTTATTTATATAATTAAATATTATTTATTTATATAATTAAATAATATTTATTTATATAATTAAATAATGTTATTTTATATTTTGTTATTATAAATTTTAATAATACAATTTGTAATGATATTTTTGCCTATTCTTGATTTAGGCTGAAGTAGCTCTGAGTGCTTACATTTCTGAAAGGTAATACACAATTTATGTTTTTTTTTTTTGTTTTTTTTTTGTTTTTTTTTGATTTTTTATTTAAACTTATTTACCATTATTACTTATTACTATATAATTAATAATTTTTTCATTTCTTTTTAGAGATAAAAAACGTTTCTGTAACTCACCAGAAGCATATTGCAGGACTGGTAAGACTGGTATTCAATCGATATTTACTTTTCATTTAATATTTGCAGCAACAAGTTGTAGGAATAAGTTATTTTTTATTATTCAAACGCTCAACACTCAGAAAGAAAAAAACTAAAGTCTGCGAAAAATTGCCCATCTTAAACTGTTTTAGGTTGGCATCAGGTCAGCAATTACATTTATTCACAAAAGTTCCATCATAAAAAGTAGAAATGTAAAGTATTCAAGGTCGGCAAAAAATTGCCAAGGACAAACACTTTAATATTGACGGTTAGGTCGGCTTTTCCAAATGCTGACCCTAAATCCAAGGGCTGTTCACCAATACTTTCAAAATTTTAAAAAATATCAAATAATTGAAATATTTAGCTGACAACGAAATAAGAATATTGTTTATATCTTTTTTTCATTTTTTTTTAGATGTAGATTTTTCAGTTTCAATATATTCTGAAAATCAATTAATAAATGTAAGAACTTTAAAGTCAAATTTATTGAAGCAATTCAATTTATTTTATCAAATATATTTTAGTCACTACTTGGAAAAAACCCCAGGGTACACCTCTGGTGTGTGTGTATATATTTATGTATATATATAGGGTGTAAGCCAGAAATACATTTTATACCGCATTTTTGCGGTATTAGAAATATTTTTTGTTTTTCTGCAAATTATTGGGTATTTTAAAGAAATTGTTCCAAAAAAGTAAATAAAAAAATAAAATTATTGGTTTTTTTTGGAATTTTAAACCCATTGGGAATTCCGCGTTATACTCGGCACCATTGGGCTAGCTAACACTGTGTGTGAGTGTATATATATATATATATATATATATATATATATATATATATATATATATATATATATATATATATATATATATATAATATTTTTATTAATTTTAACTTTTTTTTCCAGAAATCCCTTGAAGGTATTGGCAAATCATCTAAAAGTTCTAATGATTTAGATATAACGACAACTATTATGATTGATGAACCACCTGGATGTTCAGCAAATGTGAGTTGTGTGTTTGTACCTATGTGTCTGTATATATACATGAACGAACCACCACAACGAATGAATGCGTTGTGGTGGTTTCAATCAAAACGTTTTAAAGCTTAATCAAATTGGCTGCCATTTTGCACATGAGCTAAGCTCTAATATTTGTGTGTTGAATCGCCTTGTTTTAAAATCGCCTGTATTTAGTATCTTAATATACTATGGAATATTACTAAATATACTTAATATACTAAAAAGGCGTAAGATGACAGACTATTTTCAACAAAAGTAACAGTTTTTTTATAAAATGTAAAATTTTTTTTTTAATTGTATTTTATTTGTTTATGTAAAGTAACTAAAGCTAATGTTTTCCAATGTCCACACAAAATTGGTTTTGTATTGACATTTGACAATTAACTTTACACTTTACGCAACTCGTGTACTCAATTACACTAATAATTAGTGTGATAAAAAGTGACTAATTCAAAAATAAAAAGTGAACTAAAAGTAAAAAGTGAACTAAAAATAAAAAGTGACTAAACCACAAATTCATCCTGACTTACAGTAGCGGTGATGCTACAAAATGTTAGAAGGGTATTAACCGTGTTCTTTTTTGTTTATTTTCCAGTCCTACAACTACAATAGTTGACGATGTCAGTCAAGTGAGTTTACCCAGTGGTTCACTACCTAAAACTCTGCAGGCGTCGCCACTAATTTGTAATCAATTGATATTAATAAACCTTTTGTATAATAAATTATATGCCTGTCTCACATAAATTTTTGGAAGGGGGATACCCCATCCAAAACCCTCCCCTAAGTAAACCTCCAAACATTACCCCCCACCACTGAATCCTGGATCCGCTGCTGTATATATATATATATATATATATATATATATATATATATATATATATATATATATATATATATATATATATATATATATATATAAATATATATATGTATGTATAACAGGTGATAAAAACGAGTCAGTTGGCATCAATTATAATTGTGACAGTAGCAATGTATGCTTTACATTGATTTTTTTTCTTATTTAGATAACAGATGATAAAAACGAATCAGTTGCCATCAATGATAATTGTGACAGTAAAGTAATTGAAAATATAATTTTTTTATATGTTGATCATCAGGAAGGGCATCGGATTGTAAAAAAAATGCTTTAACTCTTTCATAGTGGCATTTATATGTCACTATGGAAAACCATCCAAACCACACAAACTTGGATATAAAATTTAAACCTTTTCTAATATATTTTTTTTAATATTTAGGATGAGGTTATTTGGAAAGTGGGACAAAAGTTTACAAGTATTGAATTGGTAGAGGCTTGTAAAACTAATTATGAGTTAAAACGACATTGTCAACTTGTGAAGAGTAAAGTAAGATCTTTAGAAGCTGCTAAAAAGAGAATTTCTAAACGAATTGCTTTAGCTAATATGGCATTGCACTACCAAACTTTACAGTTTGTTTGCAAGTTTAGTGGAAAGTCGAGTCAGCCAGAATTAGAAAGAAAGAGAAAAACTAAATCCTTCCGTTGTGGTTGTCCGTTTGAAATTGTGCTGGAACTTTCAGTTGACAATCAGCACCTACAAGTGGTGCGTGTACAAGAAGAACACAATCATCTGGTTTCTCAGGAACTGTACAAACACTTGCCTAAACAAACAACTTTATCTCCAGATATGATGAAAAACGTTAAAGAGGCGATTCAGTTGAAAGCAAATAGCAAACATCTACAGCAAAAGATTGAGTTATCGTCTGGCAAAAAATGCATATTAAAAGATATTGCTAACCTTCGTCAATATTCTAAAGTTTCATTTTCTGATAAGTAAGTATATGACATTGCAGAATTTCTCAAACAACAAAAAGGATCTGTGGTTGAAGTTCTTGTTGATTCTGATAAAAAGTTCAAGGGGCTTTTTTTTCAGGACTCACAAATGCAGAAGATATACGAAAGGTACCCAGAGATACTTTTTGTAGATGGGGTTACGCATGCCTATTTATTTAATGATTGTAATAGATGGAGATGGCCAAAGTGAGATTGTGGCTTCGTTTATACTAGCCGAGGAAACAAAACCAATTGTTACAGAGATGGTGCAAATTTTTAAAAAACACAACGGCTATTGGAAAAATACACGTGTAGTGATGTCGGACAAAGACTTTACAGAAAGAGAAGCTTTTGCTGTAGCCTTTCCTGCCGCTATGTTATTAATTTGTTTGTATCATTGGTAAGACTCATTCTAATTTTTTTCAAAACCATTTTTAGATAACCGTTTTGGATAAGTTTTCTTTCTGTAAATAAAATGAGTTTTTAGTTTATCTATTTATTTTTGATCAGTAGCACATTACGCCCATATCTGTTTTTAAATTTTAGTTATTTTTTGTATGAAGTTTATTTATCACTGTAAATCATTGTGCTGTCCATGTCCGAGTGTTATTATAGGCATTTGTAATATGCTTAACACTCTAGGCATGCTGATGAGCTCTGATATTGAGCGAAACAGACAAGAGGGTTTAAAAATATTCAAGTTATTTTCCCCAAATATTTTGTTTTATATTTATGCATGCTTTAATTTTTATTTTTACAGTTTATGCTCCTTTCGAAGAGAAATTACTTGCGAGAAAATGGGTATCACTTCAGCCGATAGAAAGTTGCCTTGAAATAATTCAAAAAATTGCATATTCTAAATCAAGTATTGTGTACGAGCAGAATAAACAAATGCTTTTAGATACAAAACTAACTGCAGTGACAGAATATTTTGTTAAAAATTAGGATCCTATCAAACACCAATGGGTCACAGCTTATAAAGATCTATATTTTAACCTTGGAGAAACCACTAACAATCGTCTGGAATCGATGTTCAACAATTTAAAATCGGTTTGTACAAAGCATACGAGTATGATGCAATTTTTTATAGAATTTTTTGTATTTCTTGGCGCAATCAGGAATGACAGAAATCACCACCACCTTATGTCTTTGACAAGACACGATATAGCTATACCAAGTCATCCTGATATGATCTTATACAGGGAACATTTAACGCCTTATGCTTTTTCTTTTGTTATTTCACAATTTGAAAAAATTAAAAATGATTCATCTTTTAATTTTGAAAAAAGTGACGAAATCGGAAACTATAACATAAAACATTCTAAGTTTTTGATTGCGTCAAAAGAGTATTGCAATTGCAGATTCATGTCTAAAATGGAATTACCATGTTACCATTTATTCCAACTGCGTAAGTTTTTGATGCTACCTATGTTTGATGTACAGTTAGTAAATCGAAGATGGACTAAGCAATATTATAATCAATCTCTTCGAGCAAGAAACGATGCCAATATAACTTCAAGTGTTGAAATTGTTTCGGAAGTTGATGTAAAACCGGTTAAAGCTTTAACACAAGCACAAAAATATCGAAACTTATTGAAAACTTGTCAGCTATTAGCTTCTGTTGGAAGCGAGGGTGGTATAGTAATTTTCAAAAAAAGACATGAGCAACTGGAGGTTATATTATGACAATGGCAAAAAGGAGAAGAAGTGACACTGGTGACAAATGATAATATTATAGAAGTTGATAACATTGACTTGATCGAATTTGATTGTCACGTCACTAAAACAGGCATTGAGAAGATCAAATCAAGCCCTATCAGTACAAATAAACATATTGATTCTATTGAGACTTTCCCCCTTCTTTCTGAAAAGGATGTTCCTCAAAATCCCGCAAAGTTAGATCTCAAAGAAGTATTAATGCCGCCAAAAATGAAAACCAAAGGCCGGCCGAAAGGGGCTAATACAACAGTTATTGGTGTCCCTAAAAAAAAGAATTATCTGAAACTAATACCATACATTAAGCTATTACCTAAGGATAAAGACAGATTTATTTTAACCCGCATAGTACAGGTTCCAGCTGTTGAATTAGCATTGAGTGGGGGGAAACTAATTTGTTCGTCAGACATCAAAAAATCAGTTTTTTTGCCAGATTCTCTTCGTGATGAGAAATCTTTGGATATAGAGAAGGTAGAAATGTTCTTTAAACCTGCAGCGTGGAAAGTTGTCAAATCTGCAATTATTAGCAAAAAAACGCAACAATGGATTTGTTCGATTTGTAGGAACATATTGAAAGATGAAGAAGAAAGTATTAGTTGCGATTGCTGCTTGTTGTGGAGTCATTTAAAATGCTCTACGCTGCGAAAAACACCTAAAACAAAATATTGGTTTTGTAATAGTTGTAGGTTAGAATCAACATGTTGATGGGTAATAATTTATTACTTAACAATATTACCCGTCCTTTACTTTTGCATATTTTGTCAACCCGATACTTTTTATATAACAAAGAAGATAAAAGTTACGACCAATTAAAAAATGTAAAAGTTACTACCTGTAAAAACTTTACCTAAAGGTAAAAGTTACTGCCTGGTGTGTAGTTTTTCATATTTTTTTAAACCCGGCACTATTTACATAAAGGTAAAAGTTACTGCCTGGTGTGTAGTTTTACAAATTTTGTAAACCCGACACTTTTTATATAAATGTGAAAGTTACTGCTTTATATAAATGTGAAAGTTAATTTATATAAAAGTAACTTTCACATTTATATAAATGTGAAAGTTACTTTTATATAAATGTGAAAGTTACTCAAGAAGATATATTAGCTTATACGATGCCGGGCATGTAGTTTCCGACATTTATAACTGCCCGGCATTTTTTCAAATAAAAAGTAACGCATGCGTACTTGAACTGCCGGGCATGTATGTTATACGTTTTTACTACCTGGCTGCCGGGCATGCAGACGCGGCGAATAATAAAATCTGCTTAAAGCTAATATTATTTGTATCAACTTAAGTTTTATTTTAGTTTATGTAAATATTAATCAACAAAAATGAATTTTATTTATAACCAATGTTTTTTTATTATTCCATTTTGTAACATAAATGATGTTGAAAGCAAAAGTTTGTGCAAATTTTAGCTAAATTGATGTTTAAAATATACATAGAAATCTTCGTTTAAAACCCTATGTCAAAATATATATTTGATTTTATTTTGTATATATTTAAATTTAACTAATAAAGTTATTTAGCATAATCTTTAATTTAACTTTAAAAAAACTAGCTAGCATTATAAAAAAAATCAGTTTTTTAAGTTTGCTATTTATAAAAGATAAAATAATGTAATGGTCAGAAGAATAGACAATCGAAGGACGTGTTATATTGTTAATTAAACTTTCTATTGACTGCAATGATTATTTTACTGATTATTCAGGGTTTTTTAGTTTGCAAATGATGTTAATGTCTGCATAAAATCAATTTAGTTTTTTATTATATATCTATAAAGATCGATAAAAATGCAAGCCCTTTTAATATAGTTGTTACAAGAAAATTGTAAACTTACAAGGGTATACAATAGTATTTACTTAAATGATAAATAACATAAACTATAGAAAGTATAAATAGAATTTAATAAAAAATTAAAATGTTTTATTTATTTTCAACTACTTTAATTAGCAATTAGTTTCCTAATTTTTTTTTTTTTTAATTGCGATATTAATGCTATTTTTAAATGCTGGTATACTTTTATTAATTTTGTTTTATATGATTTAATATATGTTAGTGATATTATGTTTAAGAGTTTTTAATTTTGTTATTTGTTTAGCATTTATTTTACTCTACTTCAAAACATTTTAAGTCTAAGTAAAATTTTAAAATTAGGTTTTTTAATTAAGCCATGTAGGTCATTTTTCAATCTGTATTGTGTTTTCTTATTTTAAAATATTATTTTGTTATTTTAGAATACTGTAGAAATAAAATTAGAATAAAATAAAAACTAGAAGAGACTGATCACATCTTAATCATATTGTTCTTCTAACATTGCTTCACTGGATATATTTTATTTATAAAGTTAGCAAATTTTGAAATTATATATTTAATGCTTATGCACTTTGAAAGAAACTACTTTTAATGAAACTTAAAGCAAGTAGCATGCAAGCTTTTAATTGAGTTGTTAATGATATATTCTCTGTATAGTACTGCCTGTTCATGAAGTGAATAATAGTAAAAGCGAATGAGAACACCAGCTGTTAAATCGTCCATTGAAATTATTAGCTTCGCAATGACAAAAAAGATAATTCTTTTATAAAAAAAGATGGATTATTAGTGGTTGTCTTATTTAAGAACAGCTAAAGTGCATGAAGGGACTGCTGAGATGCATTTGATGCATTCAAAAGTATCCCAAAACACAAATTTAAAAAAATTACTGAATAAATAAAGTTTTCAGAATGATTTAAAATTAGTTCAAGTTATTAAAGCAGTTTTTAAGATTAAAAATCTACAATTTTTTAAGCATGAATTAATACATTTTAAAACTTCACGACTAGATTTGTTTAATAAAATCTTCGCGGATTCACTCAGAACAGAAATAGGAATTTGAACCAAACCAGATTGTGAAAATGCCACAAATTAATTTTTTTATTGTATCTCTATTTATTTTGAATCTGATTATCTTATTTCTCAAAATAAGTCTTTTTAAATATTGAATATTATTATTAGCTTTAATTCTGATAATTTTCAGGGCATTTTTTACTTAGCAACAAATTTAAAATAAGTTGTAGGTATTCAGTGACAAATCCAGTATTTTTTGGTGATTGAGATAGCTAACTTCCAGACAGGAGCAAACTCCAAACATAAGTATGTTTATACTTATGTCAAATAATTGGTCTGTTTAAAAAATTGCGATGATTCGAGGCAGGTTACAAAAAAGCCCTTTAAGTTCCCCCCCTCCCTATCCTCTTTACCCTAAACGTGAGGGGCAACAATTTGATAAAAAAAATTTGTACTTTTATCAATTAGATTTATATTCATCGATAAATTTCAAGTTTCATAGTATTATCTCACAGCGTTCAAAAATTATGACCATATAAAATTGTAACCTCCTCATATTGAGGGGGCTTAAACTTTATATGATCATAATTTTTGAACGCTCAGAGATAATACTCTGAAGCTTAAAGTTTATCAATGAATATATAATCTAATTAAGAAAAGTACAAAAAAATTTTTATCAAGTTGTTGCCCCTCATGTTTGTTTTATGAAGTCAAAGGGTTTTTTCGGTCCATGTCGCAATTTTTTGCACAGCCTCATTATTTGACATAAGTATAAACATACTACTAATTGGAGTTTGCTCTATGTATGAAAGTTAGTTATCTCAATCACTAAAAGATCCTGGATTTGTCACTGGGTATATTGGAGTAACTATATCTGAACCAAGATTCTAAGATTTTCTTTTAGGATTTTTAATTCTTTTTACATTTTAGATTTGTTTCAATACTGAAGATTTTACCTATATTTTTGATTTACTATTATTTTCCATTTTTCTACCAAAAAAAATGTATTTTTAATGTTAAAATTGTTTAATAAATTTAATTTAATTAAAAAAAAGTTTTAAAAAAGTTTTATTTTTTAAGCAAATAATATAGTTTTTTTTTCCATGTGGGAAGGGAGAAGAAGTTTTTAGCTCTCTTTAATTAAACTAAAGCTTAACAATTTTCAAACAAGTTCACTGAATTGAATTAGTTTTGTGTTAACTAGTTTTTACAAAACAAAGAGCTTATTTAATTTTTAAAAAATGTATAAATGGCCTTATTTTTAAACCTTGCTAATTCAAAGAGCATAGTTATTCTTTTAGTTTGTAAAAATTTTTTATGAATCAAATCTTTTATGAATCAACGCAAAATATGTTAACTTTAAATTACAGTATTTGTTACATGCTATGTCTTCTTATGCCACAGGTTGCAGTAAATCTATTGGTTTGCAAGAATTAAAATCACTTTTGAATCAGCGCTATAGTAATTTTTTAAACTTAACTTGTTTTTTAGTTTGTCCCCGAAAATGCACATTTTTTTATTGGTCCCCGAAAATATATATTTTTTTCATATTATTATAATAAAATTGAAAAAAAAAATTACAATATTTGTAAAAATTTAAATTACATGCTATGTCTTGTCATGTCACAGAGCGCAGTGAACCTATTGGTTTGCAAGAATTAAAATCAATTTTATATCGGCGCTATAAAAATTTTTTAAACTAAACTAGTTTTTTAGTTAGTCCCCGAAAATGCACATTTGTTTACTGGTCCCCGAAAATGCATAATTTTTGCATGCCTTTATAATAAAGTTTAAGAAAAAGAACTACAGTATTTGTAAAAACATAAATTATATACTACGTCTTGTCATATCACAGGTCGCAGTGAACCTATAGCGCAGTGGTTTGCAAGAATTAAAGTCATTTTTAAATCAGCGCTATAGTAATTTTTAAACTAAACTTGTTTTTTAGTTGGACCCCGAAAATGCACATTTTTTTACTGGTTCCCGAATATACATACTTTTTTGTATGTTATTATAATAAAATTAAAAAAAAAATTACACTATTTGTAAAAATATAAATTATGTGCTACGTCTTGTCATGTCACAGAGTGCAGTGAACCAACTGGTTTGAAAGAATTAAAATCAATTTTAAATTAGCGCTACAGTCATTTTTTAAACTAAACTTGTTTTTTAGTTTGTCCCCGTAAATGCACATTTTTTTATTGGTCCTCGAAAATAAATATTTTTTTGCATGTTATTATAATAAAATTAAAAAAAAAATGACAATATTTGTAAAAATATAAATTATATGCTATGCCTTGTCATGTCACAGAGCGCAGTGAATCTATTGGTTTGCAAGAATTAAAATCAATTTTATATCGGCTTTATAGTAATTTTTTAAACTAAACCTGTTTTTTAGTTGGTCCCCAAAAATGCCCATTTTTTTTCTGATTCCTGAAAATGCATAATTTTTTGCATGTCTTTATAAGGAAATAAAGTATAAAATCTCAGAAGTAATAACGTTTTTTATTTGTGTATCTAGGCCTTCTCATTCGTGTCATTTCATTCGTGTATCTAGGTCTTCTCACTTTTATATAAAAAATAATTATTTCTAAGTTATGCGTTTCAGTCAAATGTTTAGTTATAAGACTTTTTCTTTTTTATTTCTTCATTGATTTTAAGAGAGCATTTCAATAGCAAGTTATAATTGGTTGTATTTTTAATGGTGTAAGATAAATTTTTGCTGCTGGTATATTTAATTGTAGACTTTTTTTTCAATTATGCTCAGAATTGTTAGTCAAATTTGTTATTTATTTAAGTGTTGCGATCAAGTAACACTAGATAAGCACGTTGAAAAAAATCTGAGATTAAATAATTTTTTAATATACTTTTGTGCGTCTATCTTTATTGTCAATTTTTTATGGAGTAAAACCTAATTTTTGAAGAGCGGCCTTAGGTACAATAGCTTGTGATTTTAGTTACAATTAAAAAAATTTATTGTACCTAGAGCCACAAATTTTTAGGCGCTTTTACATGACGGAGTTCTATAACTCAATACTTTATACTT